TAAAGGAAGGAAGTTGGAGTTGGGCTTTTGAGCCAAATAAGCTGCTATAGAAGAACGACTCTTATCGTCATCATGACGTGGTCTGCTTATCAGTGCTACTTTCTAGCGTTCTAAAACTTCCCGGAATCTGTTCTTAGGACTACATAGGACGTGCCCTGAATCAATCAAACCATAGATATGGATTTTCCCCATGACAATATGCTATCCGATTACACCAGAAGGAATAAATCAGAGATTAGAACATGTTTCAAGTCAGCATCGGCGAGAAATTTCAGATTAAACAACTCATGGCGGGATCCTAGGAGTGTTGTACAGCTTTACGACAAAGGGTGAAATGAAAGCAAAAGTGTAAACTGATAAGAGAACTTGTTAATAGACATCAAGTATTTTTTGCCAGTGTTTTCTCTGCACTTATATTGTCCCGGTTACTGCAGTTCTTCTGAGATGTCGCCTATAGTGTTCCTGTTTACCTTGCATGTCGCAGCTGCTCTCGATTTCTCAAAGGTACGTTCATCACTGATGTGCCGCTGAAGGAACGGCAGCTTCGGCTTGGGAGGGGCATTTTTGCACTTTCATTGCATTTAGGCTGCGTTTATACTTTGCGGCGTAGCGTAGCGTAGCGTAGCGCAGCGTAGCGTAGCGCTTCCAGCGTACGCCAGCGGCAGTGCCGAAGAGAGGATGCATATCGATCTAGCTTCACCAGCGTCACCGGCACGCTGGCGTACGCTAGCGGCACGCTAGCGTACGCCAGCGTTTCTCCAGCGTTTCACCAGCGTTTTGCTAGCGCTTGCAGCGGCAGGGGAGTAGAGACTATGGGAGAGCTGGAGGGTACAAAACACATCGATTGCGCGTCTCCCACTCGCCCTTAGTCTCTACAATGCACATCGCTTCTGCGTCTCCGACGGCCCCATAGTCTCTACGATGCACATTGCTTCTGCGTCTCCGACGCCACATAGTCTCTACAATGCACATTGCTTCTGCGTCTCCGACGGCCATATGGTCTCTACAATACACGTCGATTCCGCTTCTCTCACGGCCACATAGTCTCTACTCCCCTGCCGCTGCAAGCGCTAGCAAAACGCTGGTGAAACGCTGGAGAAACGCTGGCGTACGCTAGCGTGCCGCTGGTGACGCTGGTGAAGCTAGATCGATATGCATCCTCTCTTCGGCACTGCCGCTGGCGTACGCTGGAAGCGCTACGCTACGCTGCGCTACGCTACGCTACGCTGCCGCAAAGTATAAACGCAGCCTTACTTTTGCAAGTTTCAGAGACTGGTAAAGAGCACGCCACACTTGAGTGAGACCTGTAAACTCTTGTCAAGGCGCTTGTGCTATTGTATAGCTTTACAGGAATTTACAGGTTTGCACAGAAGGCATGTGATTCGATGGAAACAGCTCAAAGCCATCAGGGCCGATCTGCGTTTACCTTCTAAAGCGTTCTGATCCCAGTTGTCGTCGGAGTCCATTCTGGATAAGGCGCTATGCTACTGGTAACAAATTCCCGTGAGCGCTTTCACAAGAACGGCCCACTTACCGGACCATGCAGATGTGTCAGTCTCCTTGAAGTATGGTTTTCAATCAACATCGGAAGCAGTCGTGGGCGGTATGAGAAGGGCGGGATGAGCACGCCTCCAGCTTCTTCGCTCGACCAATCATGATCGGTCGGCTAGTGATGAGTTTATAAAGAAAACAACCAGTGGTGGCAACACCGCACGTAGGGTCAGTCCATCTCTATTAGAACGGGCCTGACTGGTTGCGATGATACCAGTCGTACATTCAAAGTTATGCTTGTCTCATGCCAAAGGTAGACTATTGGGCGCTAATAATCCCAGGTGGGGGGGGGGTGTGTTTGTGCCGTTGTTTTTTGTCTCTTCTCAGTCGTGTTTCACCTCGCAAGTTTTGTAAATTCCTGTCAAGTACTCTGTGAACTCCTTGTCGGCGAAACGGTATTAGTAATATTGAAACACCATTTTCCAGTTTCTTTCGAATTTTGACCCGTCATCTCAACTAATTTGAAAGGGGTTTACAACGTGCTTGACCAACTAATAGCATAGCAATGGCCTACAGGGTGTTTACAAACACCCCCTCCGGCAGCAAAATTTTTAGGTAAAAGCAGAAAATTCTTGGGAAATTTTGGAAAAACTGGTAGGAAGTTGGGGAGAATATAAGAAGTGGTAAAGAGAGGAATCCTCTTTTCCTTCGCCGTTTTTCCCGTTTCACAAGTGCTATTTACCTGCCTCCCGCGCTAATCATTCGACAAAGTCGATGAGTCAGGCGAATCAGGGGGTACGATCCCCGTAAAAAAACACACCAACCCTTGAAAAGCCTGCAGGTCCTAGCGGGCTTAACCAAACTGCTTTAAACCATGATCTGGCCTTGAGTGTAACACCTAAGGTGGCCAAGTGCCCAAGTTTTGTGGTTTCTCTTTGGCTATGGGATTGACAAGAAACAGTCCTGGTTTTTCAGTACCTCTACAAAGTCAATGACTTCAAAGAACTTTCTCCACCTGGAGTGAGTCCGGAATGTGTGGAAGATATGGCCATTTTTGGCGCAAGCCTTGCCAATTTCACTCGAACTGCGAGGCTTTGTGTCACCCAAGGAGGATGCACCGATGGGCAGAAAAAGGTGCTCGACGAAAATATATGTTTGCAAGTCTAAACGTGAGTATCCCTGCCTTTATTACTATTATCGGCATTACAAGAACATGTGGACTGGAGGGTGTGTGTGAAAACTTCTAGCACCACGCTCTTTTCAGGGTACAGCATCGTTTGCGAGGATCCCATCAAAGGAGTGGTACTTAGTTGTTGGCGAAGAAGTCGTTCTGCGGTGGTGAGACTCAGGACTTAAAGGCAGTTGGCACGATGGTTTCCTACTTCGCCAAAATGCTAGTAGGGCGCTATATAGTGGGGGAAATGGGAACGGAGTGAAACGGTCAAAATCCGGCGAAGAAAAAGCCTCCGTTCTCAGTGACTTGTAAATCGATTTCGGACGAGTTTCCCGTACGCATCTTGCCAATCACCGCTACCGAAGATACGGCTGCATATGTGTACCCATATATGCATGCAGCATCACCGCCGCTTCATACCAATCCCTTTGCTTCATAATTTGCTCAGCAAATGAATGAATACGAGCGTCAGAAACGGTCGTCCGTTTGTGGGCGGGCGGGCAAGGAAGGCGTTTGGGACGTAAAGTTGTTGCTCAATAGGGCGTTATAGAGGTACCCTATTGGAAAAGGCTTCACGCAGCGCCTGTCCGAGGTCACGGAATTCTGTTAAGCCATTTGTACAAATTCTAGCCACCTGTAATTGGCGATTTATCGATTTCAACTCCTTAAGGCGCTGTTCGCACCAAAGAGGGCATTTTGCACATTCGGCGACACATTATTTTGCCAATTCGTATTGATCCTTAGATCTAACTTTTGCAACTTTCGGAGCGTGCAATGGTAGGTAGAAGGTAAGAGCGATTCCGGTAGCGTAATGGATGACGCAACAGCCCGATAAGCGGGAGATGCAGGCTCAAATCCCGCGAAGAATCCGACTTTTGCTCATATATCAGCATGCTTGTGATAACTTTCGGAGCGCGCACTGTGGCGTTGAACAGCAGTTACACCTGTTCGAGCTTTGCTGAGTGCAATTGTGCCCCCCCCTCCCTTTTTTTTGAATGTCGCACTACCCAAGCGACCTTCCATTCTTCTCTAAATCCGTAACTGCTATAGTTGTCATTCTATTTTAGAGCTGGATTCTTTCGGAAAGTTACCACCCGGTATATTGGAGCTATCGCCTGCTAGCCCAGGCTCGTACTACGAATGCAAGGACTTGGTAGCACCATACCAAACACACTATTGTTACGCCGATGTGGTCGTTGAAAATTCCGTGAGTGAGAAAATCTTATTATTTATTCTAGGGTATAAGGCACACCCGCGTTGAGGGTGCATCTTTGCCTAGAAAAGTATTGCTTTTGTGTGCTCTTTCGCTCTATCTCCTGATCTAATAAAGCGGGGGGGGGTGTTATTGAGGAGCGACCACTCTGAATCACTTCCCCCTCCCCCTGCACCCACTTCTGAAATTTCATTGGAAGAAAACTGGGTAAGAAGATAATAACCATAGCGCTACTATGTGAAAATCAACATCAAAATTAAACAATTCGTAACTAGCCGGTTTCCGGTGCAGACGCTGGGGCGTGTAAGGAGGGAAAGGTTTGGCGTAGAGCCAGCTAATTCCTCACTAGTTGCTGAAGCGGATAACTGACAACAACTACCGGAAAGCGACTGATACGAATGTGCTAGGCAGTCTTTTTGCTTGACCATAATAAGTTTGTGTTGGCACTGCGCCAAAAGCTAATCTCCCTCTTGAAAGTCCGTCATGTCCGCAGCGAACAAAATTGCAGTGCAACAACCCAAAAATACATAAGCGAATTCGCCGGAATCGAAGGGAGGGGGTCGTATATTTTTGTCCAATCAATGTTTTAGCAATTTGAACCCGTGGAATATTCTGATGCTTCAGACGGTCGTTCTCTTTGGCCATTTGGCAATGAAAGTAGCTGTCTGTATGCCGAGAACATGCAGTGAACAGGTTGGAAATTGGCGTGTTCGCTCTTATTATTTTTTTTTTTGCTTTTTTGCTTTTTTATGGCTAACGCATAGGTTATTCCAGGACATCTCTCTTCTCCTAGAAACCATCATAAGTGGTCATAATGTACCACTAGATGTTCCTTCCACCAAATGTGTCCCAACAACCGTCAAGCCAACCACGGCGTTCTGGATTTTCATGTGAGTTGTAGCTTCAAACAGGTTTCAGGGTAGTATGAACATCCCATACAAACAAATGGGCTGTGACGAGGCGTGATTTTAGACCGCAGCGCGATTGTTGGAAATAAACTACCAAGTCCAACCGCAGCAATGAGCGGGTCAACGCCTCACCTTTAGCTCGGGAGGTTTTCAGTTGTTTCTGGAAGTACGCTAGGGCGACGAGGCGTTTGACGGTGTAGAGGGCAAATTAGATCTTTAGCTACGTTTAAGCCTCTGAGGACGAAAATCTGGTCGAAACGTTAGGCCATTAAGAAAATTCCACCTACAAACCTCGTTGGCTCAGAAGTAGAACATCAAATTACAACAATGCCGAGGTTATTCGAAGAGAGAATTTGGAGACTATTGTATCCAGGAATATTTCTCGAGGCATCTACCAGTCCAGTAGTTGAAGGGAGAGTAAAGGAGGAGGGATAAGAGAAGGGAGGAAGGGAAAAATGAATGAGGAAGGAAAAAGGAAAACGAAGAAGATGCTCCCGGTTGACAGGTGCCCTGAGACGCTCCCCGTCACATCCCTATCGTTTGCAGGGATCATGACGTTACATGAAGATGATTCACTAGATTGGATTTCCTTGTAGGGCTTTCATGGCGTTCTTCGTAATATGGGCCATTCTTGCAAGTCTCTTAGACTATATTTTGGATACTACGGATGTTTCCAAAGATATGAGGAAGTCTACAGGTACGTCAAGTCCAGAGATCAGGATAGGGGACGTTCTGGGACATATGAAGAAATTAGAGCCACTTCTCGAAAACCCACACAGAGTGGACGGTAGTACGCCGCGAACGGACAGCCTCGCAATACTATCTGAGTGCCGTGTGAAGGCGATCTTACGTCTTAGAGCGGCGTCGGCCTATTTCCAGGAATGGTTGCCCGCCCCAGTGTGGCAACGACGGGCGAGCTTGCGCTGCGCCAAAGCTTATGCAGTGATAGCCGACTGTTACGGACTGGACAAATGTAAAGGAGAAAGAGAATCCCTCAACAAGTTGGAATGATATAATGATGAAATGACGCCTTGTCTGTTCGGCGAGCGATGGCAAAAAGGAGGGGGGGGGCTCGGGAGAGGAGGAGGTATATGAAAATGTGAAACGAGAAAACCGAGAAACGCCAGCAACTGAAAAAGTAAATCATGCAGGGAAAAAAAGACGCCATCTCTCTCACTCTAGAATGAATGGGATGCCCCGCATCCTGCTGGGATCGCCCAATGTATGGGCTGTCCTGCTTGCGTATATCTGATAGGGAATTTTTTCGAATAGTGGCCTACCTTTTTAAAAGGTGACCTGGCAAACTTGAAGAAAGTAGCCTCCAGCAGTCAAGTGACTATGAGTGAAAGCGACTGGTCTAACTGTTATCGATTTCCCCACCTGCTGCGGCACTTGGCCTTGCACTTGGACGGTTTCTTGAGGAGGAGCGTTTGGAAGGGCTAAGGCTTGCTAAGGTCCGCTTGAGTTGTCGCTTTCTTGCGAAGCTACGCTTATAATGAAGCCACTGACAAATAAAACCAATGTGAGATTTGTGAAAGCCAAAAGAGATAGCTGCACCTGGCGTTTTGAAGTTCGAGAGGCCTTCTCTCTTTAGCACTACTCTTTTTTACAATCCCTTTTCTTTACTCTTTTTTCAAGGCATATTTTCTGCACTCTATGACTTTCATGTTTTTCTAACATGAAAATCATTGCGTTTAATCACCTCAACACGAGCGTAGTGATAAAGCGTCAACCTTCGTAGAAACACAATCTGTCAGGGGCAAGTACACCTCTAAGAATCCCTGAGAATCGGGTAGGGCCGCATTTTTTCACAACTTACCCTGGAGGCGTCTACGCTTCTGCTGCGATATTGCTTTCCTCGAGAAATGTCTCAGATTGCTCTTTTGCAGGGCCATTTCCAGCAAGCCCAGTCAACGGCAAATCTATCTCCTCAAAGGCTAGGACCCCTCTCTCTCATCAAGGGTGATAAAAGCTTTGTGAATGGATTGAGTGCCGGGAGTGCCTCTGTGAGACAAATCATTTCCAATGATCTCTCAATTTGAACGATGGTCCAACGATTGGGTTGGCCCATAGGTAATGGCGTTTTTTTCTTACACAAAATTTTATATAGAAGGCAGCAATTATGTGTTCCATGCCAGTTGATAGACAATTTTCTGCATAATTTCTTCGAATTTTATTTCATTGAACTGGAGTCGACGCGAATGTGAGTTTTGACAACAACTTCTTGCGCTCAATCTAGGCTCTCGAATTACAGAAAGAGCTCATAACTTGGGATATATGTGAACAGGGAAAAGGGCTCCTTATGACGCCTCGAAATGGGTTCAGGCGATCTGGGACCGTATGCTATACATCCCCTCGAAGGAGAGATTTCCCCAGTAAATCTCCGCTCTCTGCTGTTATCTCTATCAATGCCCCTCGTCTCTCTGCTTCTGCCTCTCTGCATCTATGTCTCCCCACTCTCGCGGAATCTCCCCCAACGACATTCGCTGGGGAGAGGGGAGCATATCGATTATACTCTGCGCTGCACTATATTCGCACAGAGCATGCGCCAAAAGAGTATGGATGCAGAGCGGTGAGAGCCAGAGAAACGAGGGGCATTAGCAGAGATGACGGCAGGGATTGGAGATTTACAGGGGATATCTCCCTTCAAGGGGGAGTGTAGCATACGGCCCCAGAAGGCGGAAATTCGGACCTCGTAAATGTGCATTGCATAGGGCGCTGTCCTGATGGACTGTCTGCAGAATTCATTGACCAAG